GACGCCGCCGACGCCTCAGTCATGGCTTCTCGCCGCGGCCGCGGCCGCTGCTTCTGCACCTCTGTCTGCGGAAGCCGGGGCCTGCCGCCTATACGTGCGGCTGCGGCACGCGGCACTGCGGCAGGCCGCGCGGAGCTTTCGCTCTGACCCAGGTGAGGCTAACCTGCGGGGCTAACGCCGTCACATTCCCTCCGCGCTAGTGCTGGCGGCGCCGCGCACAGGCAGGAGGGGGAGGGTGGGCCGGCGCGGCGGAGCCAAAGGACGTGAGCGAGGAACTGAGTGTACTGAAAACTAGCAAGGCTAAGGCCGTCGCCGCCACACTGCCCCAGAGCCAACCGTGCTGAGCAGGGCAGGAAAGCTCCTGACCAGTGACGCCGTCTCTGTCAGCCGCCCTTTGTCCTATACCCTGCCTCTACACTGCAGCACGGCTAGGCACTAGCCCTAGCGATGCACTCCGCAGTCACCAAGCGAAAGAAATAAAATAAATGGACGCCATTGCGCAGGCGCCAGCTGGGGCGGACGCTGGGCTAGCCCTGGCATCAGCAGCCGGGAGCCAGAGGGGAAGTGCTGGCCCACCAGCGCCCGGCCCGCTGGGAACTGTAGTTTTCTAAGAAGCATGCGTCTTGTTTGGAGTATCTTGGCTTGGCCGATCGGCCAAAATAGGCAAAAAAAGAAATTTATGCTTCCTGCCAACATCAATTAAAGTTCACTGCTCCGCTAAAAGTTAGCTGAGCTCCATAGAGAACAAAAGCAAACCTGTCACTTTCTTTACAGTGATGATTTAAAAGTGATGGCATCTTAGTCTCCGTGATCGGTATGTCAAGACGATATTGACTCCCCTCAAATACTGTCTTAATATAATGAAACTTTTTTCTGGTTTTAAGAAATTCAATAATAAAGTGTCTGCATTACACAAATACAAATTCTTTGAAGCTAAAGTTGCCAAAAGTTAGCACTAGGACTCATCAAAATTAACTTAGTAACTTAAGGGAAAACTGGTTCCAACAATTAAATCACCAAATTCTGCAGATAAGAGTATAGCTTAACCAAAAAGGAAAATGCAAAATGTTCAATACTTGTGTGGTTTACCAAAACCAATATCCGGTGTTAGGTGTCACTTCAGCTTGTCATCACAGAACTGTTTTAGCCCACAAAGTCACTAATTCACCAGCTCCTACATCTGCACCTGTATTTTTGAGTTTCCATTTGTTCTCTTAAAAAAAAAAAGAAAAAAGCCGGGCGTGGTGGCACATGCCTGTAGTCCCAGCAGGCCAGCCTGGTCTACATAGTGAGTTCGTGAGTTCCACGACAGCTGGGGCTACAGGGAGACCCTGTCTCAAAAAGAGAGAAAAAAACCAACAACAACAACAACAACAGCAACAAAAAAAAAAAAAAAATCACACTCAAGCATAATCATGGTTCTCATATACCCAAGAGACATCTTAGAGTCTTAAGGGCAAGTTACAAGAAGATTAATATATACATACTTATTTTGATACACAACCAGAAAAGATTCTTAGTTTTGACTTTGACTTTTTCATTTATAATCCTAGAGAAGACTTTAGTTGATTTTAAATAGTAATGCCACAGGATGTTAACACATAATTCCAAGACCAATAGATGGCGAACTAGAGCCCTAATCCGAAGATTCTGGTCTAAATTAGAATGAAAAATACCAAATAAGGCAAAGCTGTTTTTAAATATTGTATTTTTAAAAAAACATTACTATCTTATCTTTAAAAAAACTTCACTATCTACATCAGGCATGGTGGTGAGTATCTGTAATCACAGCATTTAGAAGGTAGAGACAGGGAGGATCTGAAGTTCCTATAGGGAGACCCTGTCTCAAAAGGACCAAAAAAAAAAAAAAAAAAAAACCTCAACTATCTGATTTAACTAGGCCCTCAAATAAGCAAGGCTCTGACATATATTTTTCCAGTTTATTAGAAGGTGGAAATGCTCATCTTCAAAACCGTCTATATGAGCCATATGAAGGAAGAATAAACTCCCTTTTTCCTGCTTAATCCAAGAGCCAGGAGCTCACAGTGTTTATGGCATTTAAATGGGTCAGCCTGTTTTACATTCTTATCTAAAATCAGAGGTCTTTCTGCTTAGACACCAAGTTTTATAAACAAGTACATGCAAAGGTGAGTGACTCACTAGGGACACAAAGTCTTTAGAGAAGTACCTGTACCTTTTTACTTTAAATTTCCCTGGGTTTAGTGACACATGCCTGCAATCCCATCCAGTGGAAGGAAGATCAGGAGTTCAAAGTCATCCTCAGCTACACATCCAGATTCAAGACTAACCTGGGATATACTAAATCCTGTCCAAAAAAAAAAAAACAAAACAAGGGCCACATGATCACCTGGTGCACTCAGTGCAACCTGGTGGGGGTGGTGAGGCACCAGAGCATGTGGAGCCCAGAAAGAATGAGAAGGGGAATCCAGGGGGAAAAAAAAAAAAAAAAAAGGTTTCCCCTGAGGGGCTGGAGAGATGGCCAAGCAGTTAATAGAGCTTGCAGTTCTTCCCAAGGACTAGGGTTCAGTTCCCAGCACCCACATCTGGTGACTCACAAAGGCCTGTAACTCTAGCTTCAGGGGATCCAACACCTTCTTCTGGCCTCCACAGGCAGGCACACAAGTGGTACACAAATTCACACACACAGACACATAAATTTAAAAAAAAAAAAAAAAAAAAACCCAGGGCTTGGAGAGATGACTCAGCAGTTAAGAGTATATACTGCTCTTGCAGAGGATCTATAGTCAATTCCCAGAGCCCACAGCAGGTGGCTCACAACCACCTGTAACTCCAGGTCCCAGGGGATTCAACTGCCTCTAGCCTCTGTGAGTACCTGTACTCACATGCACATACTCAAGTGTACACACACACACACAAATTTTAATAGAAATATTTTTTAATTTCCCCCTGAAAAACAATGTATGATAAGGCTGATTTAAAACACAGCCAAACATGGTAGCAAATGCCTGTAATTCCAACATTTGGGAGATAGAAGCAGGACTGCCTACTAGTTCCAGGCCAGCCTGTTCCTTGCCAGCTAGGACTACATAGTGAGATCTTGTCTCAAAAATATCCACACACAAGCCAGGCGTGGTGGCGCACGCCTTTAATCCCAGCACTTGGGAGGCAGAGGCAGAGGCAGGCGGATCTCTGTGAGTTCAAGGCCAGCCTGGTCTACATAGTGAGTTCCAGGACAGCTGGAGCTACAGGGAGACCCTGTCTCAAAAAGACCCCCCCCCCAAAAAAAACCATACACATAACCTCACTTTTCTGGCTGCACTATCTAATATCCATTCAATCCAGACTGGTTTCAACATTCTGCTAGTGATTAGTTAGGACTGAGCTGAGACATGAGTAGAAGGCACCAAGGAAGGAGGACTCTAAGAACTGTGAGATATTCTTCAATCTTAAAATGAGAAATAAGATGGAGCCCTTAAGACCCCTCTTCAGACACTGACACATTGAACTGTAAAGATCCTCTTACATCTTTAAGATGTCACCAGCATCAAAGAGGGCAGAATAGAGAGATGGCAAGAACCAGGTCCTGATGACAGCATTACATCATCATAACAACTAATTCTGGCCTGAGTTCTAGACTTCCAGCTACATCAAAACAATGAAACATTTAAACCAATTGGAGTTAGGTTTCTCACACCTTAAGTCAATAACATAAAGATTATTTTCTCATATTTTGAACTATGTGCTTTATGAGAATCTGTTTCAAAAAAAGTATAGTGGCTAGAGCAATGGCTCAGTGGTGAAGAGTGCTTATGCTCTCACAGAAGACCTGAGTTTGACTCCCAGCACCAATATTCAGTGGCTCACACCTGCCTATAAATCCAGTTCCAGGGATCCAACGCCCTCTTCTGGGCCTCTGATGACACACACACACACACATACGTGACATATGTACACATAAATTAAGAAAAAACATTTTTAAAGCTAAGGACTTTTTTTAACATTTTATTTATTATTTTTATGTGCATGCCTGCATGTAGGTAGGTGCACCGGTGTCATGCAGTGCCTGAGGAGGACAGAAGAGGCTACTGGATCCCCTGGAACTGGAGTTACGGACAGTTGTTAGCTGCCATGTGGGTGCTGGGATT